GAGGATTATTTTTGCTTTCCTCGATCATTTGAGAATATAATATAGTCCAATTTTTCTGATCATCATTTCTAAATGTATCATTTGAAAACAATAAAGCTTTTTGAGAATCATTGCCAAAAAGTATATCAATAATTTGACTGTCTGCTAATCCATTACGAATGCCTAAATCTGCAACATTGCAGTATTCAAATCCATTTTTTTGTAATTTTGTAATGAGTTTGCCTTTCGTTTTCAATTCATCGAGAATGTTAGTTAATTTTTGTAGAGAATTACTGACTGTCGTTTGGGAATATAATTCCGTTATTTTATCAATCGAATTTTGTATATTGATTTCTTTGCGAATTTTTATAACTAACTCACGAATTTGTTGAAGTTGTTGCTCATGAATTTCATCTATTTGTCCGAGACATGTATGAGACTCTTTTAATTGTTCTTCTAGTTTACCTTGTAACAAATTAGGTAAATCATGGTTAAGGCGAAAACGTAATAGTTTTAGTTCATTGCATTTTTGAAGTAAATAGACTTCTAACGATTCCGCAACGGACTGATCAATACACATAAATGTTAGATTATTTTCAGTACACTGAGGATATAAAGTTCTGATCGGAAAGAGAATGTAGCTTAAACGTTGATGTTCATTTCGAACCTTCTTTAATTTGAATATTTCCCGATAAACATCTTCTAATTTGGTTAATTTAGTAAATTCATCTATATTTGCATAGACTGTGATTGATATGACAGTTTCACATAAATCTTTTTCATCTTGCTTCATCCTCATCGCACGTGTATCATTTATTAAAGAGAGAGTTATTTTTTCAAGTATGGGGTCAATCTTTATTGCTTGATCAGGTGCTAATTGTAGAACAATTATAATATTCATACCCCAGTTGATTTCAGTTATAATATGTGTAGCACATGTTTTAGAAAACGATGGTGTTTCTGAATCGTTAAAGCTGTCATGACACGATTCTGTGTAAGTTTTTTGGTGAAAATATAAGAAACGAGTATTTTTATCAATTCTTCGAGGATAATTAATCAAAGAAGCGATTCCACTTACTGGAACCAGTTTTAGGTAAATACTCAATCGTAACTCCCAGTCGATGTTTATTTTCGCGAGTAGATTTTGACTTTCAGGCGTACGACCCTTGATTAATAAGCATGTTGGTTGTTCTTCACATGAAGTAGATTGTGTTATGAAGTTGCCAATTAATTTTCCTCTTATAATATCTTGACATCCATCATAAAATGATCTAAGAGTACCAGAATTATCGATAGCGATACGTTCCATATTTCTTGTCTTTGTTTTATCAATGTCGGAACATAGTTCAGTCTAACTAATGTTGTCAGCTAAAATATTGATATTAAATTGAATTGATATCTGCATATAAGAGTTAATTAAAAAACAAAGATCAATCTATTTTTTTCACAATAGAAAACGTTGAATTTCAAGCATAGAGGAAACAAATACTAATGTCCATTTCAGAGTTTAATAACCATGAGCATTTTTTGAATAACTTTTGATAGGAACGAGATAGAGATCTCTGATTTTCACCGTTGGATAGAGCAGATGAAGACGTATCGTTTTATATATAGAAACATTTTTCTAACTAGTTTTCTAAAGGTTTAGTAAAACGTTTTCAAAGAATTGCTTTTTTTCTCCTACGTTAAAAAAAGTTACTTTTCTATCACAATACTACAAAAATTTACGTTTTTCGCTTATTTTCTTGAAAAAAATTAGGTGGTAAATTGTGTTCCGATGCTTTCGATATCATACTGGTAGTAGCTATGAACAGCGTCGTGATATAGTTTTGTAGCTCTTCCTTTGGCGATTCTAGCACACTCCTGAAAACCAACAAATTAATATCGTGACCATGAGAACCATGCTGTTTTTCTTGAAATTTTATGAAAAAACCTATAGGAAAGCAGTTAGAAAAATCTGTCTATATATAATTCGATGCATCTTCATCTGCTCTATCCAACGGTGAAAACCGAAGATCTCTATCTCGTTCCTATCAAAAGTTATTGAAAAAATGCCCCGCGGCCATTTAACTCTGTAACAGACATCAATTTTCTTTCTTTGTTTTTTTTTAGAAAATTTAAAATTAATTGTGTGCCTCTGTTTAAATGAAGAAATTAAATTCTCTAGCACAATATAAGAATTATGAAAGATTAATTGACAAAATAAATAATTGAGTGTAACTCACACGAATTAGAATTGTTAAATATAGCGACGTTTATAATAACTCATTCAATTAGTAAGTTAGTACATATTGTCAGTGTGCATTTGTTTTTTGGCAAGACAATGTTCATTTAAAGTATAACTAGATTTTAAAACAAACTTTCTCACCAT